CTTCCATACAAGCATAGAAATCCAAGGAAGATTGCAACATTCAGACACACTTCTCGACCCTTTCTGTAATTAAATACATGTGAGACCACCATATCACACCCAAGAGATTCTCCAAAATTCTTGTTTCTCTCAAGCAAACACTCTTTCATCTAATGAAATGAGACTTGGGAAAGGCAAAAGATGGGAGAATCCGTCTTCCTGTATGGTTAAGAAGCAAAGAGTTAGGCTTATAATGTTGGAGATGATGGATAAACAGTGGGTTACAAACAATAGCAAAACACTGAGATACAAGGGAAAGCTAAGGAAGAGTTATACAACTTCATTACTCCGTTAACATTCTAAGAGAGAGAACTGGTTCATTCTCTCCTTGACTCTATTTTTGTAGACCTCATATTCTTCATTTTTCTACAGAGTAAACCTGAATAAAATTGACGCTTCTCTTTCTGTTTCTTTAGACTGGGTTATGCCCACGTCTCTCATGGTGACTCTGAATGTCCATCCACTCTGTCCAAGTTTAGGAGGCATCAGTAGTGTGACCTTAGTCTGTTCCATCTATAGCTACTCCCTAGAGAACATCCAAGTCACCTGGGAACCAGATGGGAAATTTCAAACGTCACCAAAGGATCGGTCAAATAGTGTCCAATTCTACACTAGCAGCAACTTCACAGTATCCCTACAAGAATGGAACAAGCTCAAAGAATATACCTGCAAAGTAACTCAATCTGGAAGAAACCACACAGAGACAAGAAGTATCAGCAAATGCAAAGGTGATTCTCTCTTACTCACTCTCTCTTTTTTTTCTCTCTTTCTCTTTCTCTTTCTCTCTCTTTCTTTCATTTTCTCTTTCTCTCTCTCTCTTTTCTCATTCTCTCCCTCTTTTTCTTTCTTTTTCTTTCTTTCTCTCTCTTTTTCTTTTTCTTTCTTTTTCTTTTTTCTTTCTTCTCTGTTTCTCTCCCTCTTTTTTCTTTTTATTTCTCTTTTTCTGTTTCTGTTTCTCTTTCACTTTCGCTTTCGCTTTCTCTCTCTCCTTTTTTCTTTTTTCTTTCTTTCTCTTCTCTTCTCTTTCTCTCCCTCTCTTTTTCTTTTCTCTTTCTCTCTCTCTCTCCTTTTTTATTTATTCTATCTGGCCATTCATTCTCTGTCTCTTAACATATTTCTGTCTGGAACATAACTTCATGTTCTCTTATTTTGTTTTCCTTCTACCTTTGATTCTTGATAGCACCTTTAAAAATGATGATGATGACGCCAGAAAATTACATTGAATTGATCACAGAATGTAATAATGACTCAATTGGAAAGAAAAGTGTTTGTCTATAGCTAGTCCTTGATTTACAGCCAGTCGCTTAGCAACTCTTCAGAGCTATAACGGTGCTCCCCCAAAAGCTACTTAACAACCCATTTTCAAAATTTTGACAGCCACAGAACATTTTGGGCACTTGGCAACTGACTCACCTTTACTGCCATTTTCCTGGGGGGCACGTGACCCCAGGCAATAGATAGGAGAATCCATTTTCCCGTATAGTTAAGAAACATAGAGTTAGGCTTATAACGTTGGAGATAATGGATAAACAGTGAGTAAAAACAACAGCAAAACACTGAGAAACCTGGGGTTACGTGACTGCAATTTGGGACTCTTTTTTTTGCCAATTTCTGGCATTGACTTCCAGTTTTCTATTTAAAAAAACTCCCGTTGGGGAAAATGTATTTGTTTAATGACCATGACATTTACTCAACAACCCTTGCAGAAAACAGCCAGAAAATCAAGTTGGCCACATGATGCTTTGCCTTCTGACTGCAAAGATTTGTGACCACAGTTCTGGGCTCAATTAAATTATAAGTCAAGGACTTCCTGTATAGAGTGAAACGTTCTAATTTGTTGCCGATTGGGCTGATTCTTCTTGCTTTCCTCAACACTTGTTCAATACTTCCTACAGGAAATCCTCATGACCACAACTGAGCCCAAAACTTCTGTTGCTAAGCAACATAGATGTTAAGTGAGTTTTGCCCTGTTTTATGACCTTTCTTGCCACAGTTGTTAAGCGAATCATTGCCGTTGTTAAGTTAGTAACAGCGTTGTTAAGTGAATCTGGCTTCCCCATTGACTTTGCTTCTTAGAAGGTCCCCAAAGGGGATCACATGACCCCAGGAGGCTGCAGCTGCCATAAATATGAAGCAGTGTCCAAATTTTCATCATCGATGATAGGGATGCTGCAATGGTCGCAAGTATGAAAAATGGTCATAAGTCACTTTTTTGAGTGCTGTTGTAACTTCAAACTGTCACTAAATGAACTGCTGTAAGTCAAGGACTGCCTGTATAGTGTTTTGTTTCTCCATATGATCTTTTTTTACTATTTTATTCTCGCCCATCGTAAAATGTTTGTCATTTGCCCTCTTGTAGCTTGTAAGAACAGTATACCACCTCCCACAATTTATCTACTCAAACCTCCCCTTGAGAGGCTCTTCACCCAAAAGAAAGCTACCTTGACTTGCCTTGTGGTGGGCTATGAACTGGAGAACATGATGCTCACCTGGATGACGGACGGACTTAACCTCACCACAAATGCCACCACAGAAAAAATCAAGAGACACCCAAATCGGACCCAAAGTTTCCAAAGCCAGCTTAAACTCACCAGTCAGATCTGGGATTCTGGAAAGAAAATTGAATGCAGCATTTCTCATCTCTGCTCACTTTTCCCTGAGGTGAAGCGGAGCATCCAAAAAAACACAGGTGAGAGAAGATTCAACAAGGAAAGCCCCAAAGATCAGGGGAAAATATTTGGCTTGCCCAAATGTCTACAGAGATTCTCAATCATCCAGGTTGACCCAAATGTGCCCTTTTTTTTCCCCTGAAAGGCAACTGTACTTTCTTTGTTTTGGAATAGAATAGAATAGAATAGAATAGAATAGAATAGAATAGAATAGAATAGAATAGTTGGAAGGGACCTTGGAGGTTTTCTAGTCCAACCTGCTGCTCAGGTAGGAAACCCTATACCATTTCAGACAGATGGTTGTCCAATCCCTTCTTAAAAACTTCCAGTGTTGGAGTTTTTCCTCAAGGACATTTAGCTTCTCATCCAAGAAGCTTCTTCAGTTTTCAGGATGGAAGGATTTATATTCCTTGCAAATTGGAATATATTCTTATTCCCATTTGGACTATTCAGGGCACAGATAAACCTCCAAGTGGCCTGAACGACTCTCAGAAAGAGTGCTAATGACCAGATGACTGCAAGGAATATTCTCTACCATTCAGTCAGAACTGAAGAAGCTTCTTGGATGAAAAGTGAAACGTCTTCAAGGAAAAATAAAGCAAGGACAGTTGCCTTTTGAAAAAAAAGCGCTGTTGGGATTTGGCTTGCCCCTGAAAATTGTGGAGGAAGGGAGAATAATTCTCTGGACCAATTATCAGAGAATTATTTCCACATCTTTGGTTTCAGAAAAAGGGTGGCCCCCAATTAAAAACATTCAAAAGTTCAAAATCATGAAGATTAAATATCATGAATGCACCATCCTTACGGTATCATCAATGAGATTTGTTATTTATTCCGACCTTTCTTTTTCTTTCACTTTAAAAAAAATCACTCTTATCCATATTTCCATCTCTATCTTTTATTTTGTATAGATTTCAGCCACGTTAAAGTACCATCTCTCTCCTTGGTCCTTCCACCACTATCACAATTGACACAACCTACTTCCCAAGCTGTTGCCTGGCTGACTTGTGTGATCAGTGGATTCTTCCCATCTGAGATACTCGTCAAATGGAAGAAGAACAATAGCAGTATCAATGCCTCTGAGTATATCACAGGCCCCTCCATGCTTGAAACTGGAAAGTCCACCTTTTCTACTCAAAGTGTCCTGAAAATCCCAGCATCTGAATGGGAAAATAGAGCTGTGTATACATGCCTAGTGGGACATGAATCCCTAACTATCATGAAGAGCATCAGTAAATATTTGTATGGTAAGTCTTGGTGCTGGAAAATTCTTGGTCAGCCAGGAATAACCCTGTTGGTCAGATAGCTCCATCGGTGGTGTTTGGACAGAGATGGCTGTTCACATATTGCAATCTTCTCTTGGTGACCATCCACAAATGGGTTTCCAATTGGAAAGAAGTCTCCATAATTTGAAATCACTAAAGGTCATGGCCCCTCCTATCAAATAAAATCTGGGTGTCAAACGTTGCTGATCTATCTAGATTATTGCTATTTAGCCATATGTGTTAAACTCACACGGTCCTGATTATATTGCGCAACCCCAAAATCAACCGTTCCTTTTCAGATTTCCTGAAACCCACTTCTCCACGAGTGATGGCATTCCACACTTTTGAGGACAAGGGCTATTCAAAACTTGTTTGCTTTGCTACCGGCTTCTACCCCAAAACCATAGATATTCAGTGGAGCATCAAAGGAGAGAAACTCAGTTCCATCCCAAACTGTTCGTCTCCAGTGCCCCTCCCTGATGGGACATATCAGAAGGACTGTAGTTTGACCATCAGTGGAGAAGACTGGCAGAATCCACAAACATATACATGCACTGTGAATCACCATGCAACCAACTTTTTGTTTAAGAAAGATGTGCATTCTTCTGGTAAGTTGTACTTTGCCCAATTTAAATTGTAAACAAAAGAAACGGTGGGCCTGATATGTTTACAGAGTACCTTTATGATGAGCGGACAGCCACATTTCTTGAGCCTCCGTATGCTCCACTTCATATTTCAAATCAGTGGCCTTGACTTTTAGTCTGCCAACTCCTACCTGCCTCGTTATTAATATGGTTCCTAACAGAAGTGTTATGCTTTTTAGTAATTTGCACAGCCAAAATATATTAAAGATACTGGTCTAGAACAACTCACCACAGTCAACTGTGGGACCATTCAATGCTGTATTAATCATTTCATTTTATTATTGGTGACCACGTTTTCATCGAAATTATTGTAACTCCTGCATTTTTGAACTGACTGTCTTTATTTTATTATTATTGGTCATGGTTCCATTGAAATTGATTTAACTTTTGTAGTTGTTGAATTGCCCTGTGGCTAGTTGGCCATGGCAGGTAGGCTGTGCCAAGTTGGCCATGATGAGTTGGCTGTGGCAAATTGCCTCATTCCATAAGTGTACCGTGGTGCTGATGGTTGTGGCTATTGAGTTGATACTGACTGACATCAAAGAGAGAGAAAAGCAGCTGATTGGTTGAGAGAGATTAATAGCTTTTAGAATATCATGTCTGTTCTGCATTTGAAGCTTGTAGTAAATAATTGCTTCTATTAGATGGAGAGGTAATCTATTACCTTTGAGGAAGAAAGGGTTGAATGTGGCTCAAACCACATTGATTTCCATACATCCTTCATCTTGCCTATCTCCAAGTAGAAGGATCTGCATTTTTTTTTGAAACAGAACGAAGTTGTTTGTTCCTCCTCCTTTTTCAGCCATAACGTCCAGATGTTAGATTAATTTTATTTAGATTTCCCAGGCTAATCACAAGAAGGAACAGCTGTATTTGAAACAGTCATTCCAATATATCCCCATTAGGCAAGGAGGTGAGACAGGAACAGGAAAGTACCCATCAAATTAATTTGTGCCGCATTGCTTTTGAAGGAATGGTGACATCTCCAAGCAACATGGAAGTGATCAAGATGCAACTGCCTTCCTTTGAAGAGCTCTTCACAAATAGAAGTGCATCTCTAACCTGCATGGTGCCCCTCATGAATGCCAGTGCCAATGCAACCTTCAGCTGGACAATGGATGGCAAACTGGCCAACAATAATTCAGTGACAAATGAAGTCTTCCAAGAAAGCAACCACACTTCTTTGATGTATGGCCAATTGCAGGTGAATCTGAGTGAGTGGACCAGCACCACCCAATTCACTTGTAGCATCCAGAATGGCCAAGGCGAAACAAAGACGAAGCATTTTGACCGAAGGAATGGTAAGGACTCATATAAAGAGCTGGCAAAGCAAATGAGATAGAAAGGGAGGGCACTCTAAGTACAGAGAGGTTGGGAAGTAGTTCAATTCAGCCTTACTCTGAATTGATCCTAGCAGTGGTCAAAACCAGATAACACTTAGCAGAGTCTGGTTTCTGAAGAGCAGAATCATGGCAACATCTTAATGGTATGTTCACAACAGAGCCAGTTTGGCCAAGTGCTTAAGGTGCTGGCTTAAACACCAGGAGAGTGTGAGTTGTAGTTCTGTCTTAAACATGAATGCCAGCTGAATGACTTTGGGCCAATCACCAAGAGGCTGTGAGTTCTAGTTCCATCTTAGGCATGAAAAACAGCCTGGTGACTTTGGGCCAATCACCAGGAGACCCGTGAGTTCTAGTCCCACCTTAGGCATGAAAACCAGCCTAGTGACTTTGGGCCAATCATCAGGAGACTGTGAGTTCTAGTCCCACCTTAGGCATGGAAACCAGCCTAGTGACTTTGGGCCAATCACCAGGAGACCCGTGAGTTCTAGTCCCACCTTAGGCATGAAAACCAGCCTAGTGACTTTGGGCCAATCATCAGGAGACTGTGAGTTCTAGTCCCACCTTAGGCATGGAAACCAGCCTAGTGACTTTGGGCCAATCATCAGGAGACTGTGAATTCTAGTCCCACCTTAGGCATGGAAACCAGCCTGGTGACTTTGAGCCAATCACTTAGGCATGAAAGTTGGCTGGGTGACATAGGGCCAGTCCCTCTCTCTCAGCGCAACCCACTTCCCAGGACTGTTATTCTAGGGAAAAGAGGAGAAAGAAGGAATATATGTATGTTCGCCACCTTAAATTACTTATAAAGTAATAAAGGCAGGATTAAAAAAAAAAATCTCATAAATAAATAAATAATATTGATGGCCTTTAACTTAAGGAATTCCACCAGAATTCCAGAAGTCATAGCTTGACAAGGATGGCAGGAACGTTGAAGATTTCTAACCCATCATCCTTACCTGAAAAGTGAGTGGCATGGTGGCCTAGTGGTGAAGACACTCTCTTCCCACTTGGAAAGTTGAAAGTTCAATCCTAGGTAGCAACAGATATTTTTCTCCCAGGGCCCAAAGAAAAACAAAATCTGCTGTGAACTCCTTGTAGGAGTCAGGAAGGGCAGCCGGACAGTAAACGCTCAGCTCCATCCAGTCACCCTGACTCTACCCCGAATTAAGGGATTACAGGGTTATAGAAAGGGAGTTTAAACCTTACATGAAAAAAAAATAGTAATTCTGAGGGAGTTCTGAGAGGAAAAAAACCCTTCTCAATACAGCTCAGGGTACAAAGAGGATAGAGTCCAGCACATTTTGTTCCCCAAACATGTTGTCTTGTCTTTGCTAATCCAGGGACTGTGAGACCCCCCAAAGTGGATCTCCAGCGTCAGTCATCCAGTGAAGACCTCAATGTGACCCTACTGTGCATAGCGAAAGATTTCTATCCAGATGAAATATTTCTGAAGTGGGAAGAAGAGAACCAAGAGTTGTCCTTTAAAGGCCATGACGCCCACGGCATGAAATGCGACCACGAGAAACAAACATGTTCCTTGCTGAGCATGCTCGAAATCCCCACCAGCAAATGGATGATGGGAGCCTCCTACAGATGCCTTGTAGCTCACGTCTCTTCTGAAAACATAATCGCTAGAACAACTAATTTCTTAACTGGTAAAAACAACAACAACAACGCCAACAGCCAAACCAATTGTGGTACTCTTGTTATGAGGCACTTTTTATGTATCTTTCCGTTTTACATTAAAATAATGTCTACCAGTTGGATGTTTCTTTCTTTCTTCTTTGATTGGCACCTTGGTTCACACCAACAAGAGCCATAATTTAGGTTAATGCAATGCCCCGAAGATGCTATATGGGCCGTGGAGTTTTATAGATTCTCACAGATATTCATTTGACATGCATTCAGTGTTTTTCTTCCCACCCCACCCCCCAAAAAAATTGTTTGTAATCTTTTTCCTTACGTTTGAACATGACTTTTGACGCTAATTATTTCTCCTTGCTGCTTTTAAGACTGGCTAGATATTGAATTATATGATTTGGGGAATGAGGATTCTATAGTTCATTCTCTAGGCACGACACAGATTGCATTGATCTTGCTTTAAATCTGTTTTGATTATTTTATACTTTTGGGTCTCGGTTTTGTAACTTGCCCTGAACATTTGGTTCTTGGTGGTATGAAATATCATAATTACAGGCTGTGCTCCACTTTTGACCGGACATTTAAAAACTGTTTGAAGTTAGGATGGACCTCATAAAAGATACGTATGACTCAATTCTGAAATTTCAATGGCTGCCCTCATGTGGTCATGTGATCGCATTTGGGGTGCTCCACAACTGGCCCCCATTTACAGATGTTTGCAGCATCCTGAAGTCACATGGTCACCATTTATGGCATTTTTGCCAGAAATCACCATTTACCTCTGGTTTCTGGGGAAAAAACAAGCCCATAGTGAACAATGGATTCCCTTAACAACTTTCACATTTTTTTAATGACCGTGGTGTTCGCTTAACAATGGCCACACAAAAAAAAATAGTTTGAAAATCAGCTTGGACACATAGTTACCCATTTTACAACCATCATAATGTACCACAGTAATTGCCAGGCTCAGTTATGGATGTAAGTCGGGGACTACCCATACACATATTAAATCAATGATGAAATAGAAATTGATAATGCCTGTCTCCCTCTGTCTAATCCATCCAATGTTTTCTGTTGGCTTTTGTTGGCTTTTCTAATTTGATTTTTTTTTCACTCCATTCTTCAGATTCCTGGGATTGTACCCTCATGGGAACTGCCTTCTGTGACATCCGCAACGAAAGCGAAGATGAATACAGTGAGCTAGAAGAAGCCAATGGTGTCTGGAATAAAGTTTTCACCTTCATCGTTCTCTTCATTGTGGCCATATTTTACGGCGGCCTAGTCACTTTCATCAAGGTAAAAGAGGAAATCAATTCAAAGCATAGAAATAGATTATCGCCATCTCTTTCTTCCTCAATTGTCCCTGCGGTAAATGAGTAATCTACCCATCACAGCACAGAAACATGGATTTGCATATTAACCACAGTAAGAATAGTATTTGCCCAGTATTGGAAAAATGAAAACTTACCAACAGAAGAAGAACTAATTAAGAAAATTTTAGATTGTGCAGAAATGGACAGATTGACATTCAAGATAAAAAAGAAAGAAGACTCAGTGTAGTTTAGAACATGGGACAATTTTTATCAATGGCTAGAAAAGTGAGATAGAGAGAAAGAAACGTAATATGTACTATGTAACATTGAATATATACCAGTAAGAAGACTATTGAATGATTAACTAACATATTGATTATGATAATATAGAAATTAATTATTACTTATTGTTTTTTAAATATGTGAACCCAGACAACATGCTGTTTGCTAAATATTAAGAATGTTATTTTATAAAAACCCTAACCATAACCCTATAAAAATTAATTATATATATAGAAACATGGATTTGCAGACGCAACAAAACTGATTAAGGGGCTGGAGGCTAGAACATAGCAAGAATTGAGTATATCTAGTCTAGTGAAAAGAAGGACTAGGGATGAGATGATAGCAGCGTACTAATATTTGAGGGGCTGCCACAAAGAAGAGGGGGTTCACCTATTTTCCAAAGCACCAGAAGGCAATGGATGGAAACTAACCAAGAAGAGAAACAACCTAGAACTAAGGAGAAATTTCGTGACAGTGAGAACAATCAAGCAGTGGAAAGATTTGCCTTCAGAAGTTGTGGGTGCTCCATCATTGGAGTTTTTGAAGAAGAGATGGGACAACCATTGCTTTGAAATAATATAGGGTCTCCTGCTTGAGCAGGGGTTTGGACTAGAAGACCTCTAGGATTCCTTCCAACTCTGATGATGTTATATATTCTGTTCAAACCATCCCAGGTTGAGAAATCTGGGTCCTCTTAAATGTTCCTCAGCTTCAATTTCTAGCAGCCTCTATCAGCCGAGCCAAGGGTGAAGGATATTGAGAGTTATAGTTCAACAATAACTGGAGGGCTCATTCACCCTTGCACCGAGTGGGCCAACTCAATAGCTAAGTCCAAAAATGCCTCAGCCTTTTGGACTACAATTTGGATATTCAGAATTTTGAGAAAGCATTGCAGATACCCCAACATAGCACAAAGCAGGGGTCTTCAAACTTGGCCCTTTTATGACTTGTGGACTTCAACTCCCAGAATTCCTCAGCCAGGCATGCTGGCTCAGGAATTCTGGGAGTTGAAGTCCACAAGTCATAAAAGGACCAAGTTTGAAGGCCCCTGGCACAAAGTATGCTTCTGTATCAGCACTTACTGGTTTGCCTATTAACTAATTAATCTCTGTTATCAAGAATTACAGATAGTCTTTGACTTATGAACACAGTTGGGATCCAGAATTTCCTCTGCTAAGTAAAGCAGGTGTTAAGGGAGTCTCAACAGATTTTATGATCTTTTCAGCCCCAGTTATTAAGCAAAAAACTGTAGTTATTAAGAGAATCATGCAGTTGTTAAGCAAATTCAGCTTCTCCCATTGACTCCCATTGCTGGAATTGGGTATGTCTAGTTTAATGAAAAGAAGGACCAGGGTGACATGATAGCAGACTTCCAATATCTCAGGGGTTGCCACAAAGAAGAGGGAGTCAAGCTATTCTCCAAAGCACCTGAAGGCAGGAAAAGAAGCAATGGATGGAAACTAATCAAGGAGAGAAATAACCTAGAACTGCCAGCCCGCGGGCCGGATGCGTCATGCCGAAACCGCACCCACCCCATTGCCGGCAATGGGGAAAAAGTCGTGATACATCACGCGACATCATGTGATGTCACGAATTTGACATGCCTGACCTATAACTAAGGAGAAATTTCCTGACAGTTAGAACAATTAACCAGTGGAACAACTTGTGAATGCTCCAACACTGGAAGTTTTTAAGAAGAGACTGGACAATCATATGTATAGGGTTTCCTGCCTAAGCAGGGGGTTGGACTAGAAGACCTCCAAGGTCCCTTCCAACTCTGTTATTCTAACTTTGCTTGTTGGAAGCCAGCTAAGAAAGTCACTAATGGTGATCACATGACCCCAGGATGCTGCAGCCATCATGCTGGTTGCCAAGTGCCCACATTTTGATCACATGACCATGAGGATGCTATAATGGTTGTAAGTGCAAGAACCAGCTGTCAGTTTTTTTTCAGGGCTGTTGTAACTTTGAACGGTCACTAAACAAATGGTTGTAAGTCGAGAACTACCTTTATAACACTTGTTCTAAGATAATGCAGCTAGTTAAGACATTAATCGATGGTAATAAGCTAGATATGCTAGAGACCCACACTAGGTCAATAATTTAATATTGAGTACCTGATTTAATCTTTTTTTTTCTCCCTCTCTTCCTTCTTTATCTTTTTCTTTCTCTTTTCACAGGTGAAATAACCATTTGCTATCAATGAAGCATACATGAAATGAGATCCCACCTTTTCCCCTCCATCATCCATTTCTTTCACCCATCCTTCATGACCACTGTTCTGAGCTACATGTTTCATGGAAAGTCACAGCAAAGCATTAAATGTCACAAAAATATCCATTTCCATGTGACAGTCTCTGCTTCGGCAGCCTTAGCAATAACAGGAAGAAACAAGTTTGTTTTCTACTTAAAAAGTCTCCTTGAAAGAAAGGAAGTGTAATATCTTCACCCCAAAGTTCACCAATGCTAAGAAACGCACTATGGGTACACAAATACCGAATTGTTGTCCTGTCCCCTTACAGTATGTCTAAAAGGGAAAATGTCAAAGAGCTAAAAAAACATACTGTGCACTTTCCAAACCAAGTCCACCTATTTTCCAAAGCACCTGAAGGCCAGACAAGGAATGATGGATGGAAACTGAACAAGGAGACATTCAACCTGGAAATAAGGAGAAATTTTCTGACAGTGAGAACAATCAACCACTGGAACAGCTTGCCACCAGAAGTTGTGGGAGCTTCATCACCAGAAGCTTTCAAGAAGAGACTGGACTGCCATCTATCAGAAATGGTGTTGGGTCTCCTGCATGAACAGGGGGCTGGACTAGATGACCTACAAGGTCCCTTCCAACTCTGTTATTCTAATTCTAATTCTAATTCTAATTCTAATTCTAATTCTATTCTTAATTTACTGCCATGACATATTGCAATACTTGATGGCTTCTCTGGTGTGCTAAAATCACTTTTCAAGAGTGACCCTGTTTTTATTTTTTTAAGAAAAGGGGGCAAATGAAAACCTGTTTCCCCCACCTCCAATACTTAATTCACCAGCTTTTGTTCAATTTTGTTCTTCTCATGATCTGCTCTCTAATGCTAAACAACTGGTTCTCTCGATCAACCCTTTAGTGCTAAACAGCTGGTCACCAGTTTCTCTGAAGTCAATTTAATTAGCTACTTCATTTACTTTGAATTAGGCATTTAGGCCCAGAAAGTTTCTTAGTTTGCTGTTTTCACTATCTAGAGTGTCCAAGAATCAATGGTTGTTTTGCTGAAAGCAGAGGTATCTATAAATGTGCATTGTATGTTCATGGATTAAGGTTATGTATGGATTTTATCAAGATGTAGCACATATGAGCATTAACCTTTTTTATTTTATGAAACTGAATAACACTGCCCTGGCAATTGCATTTATTTTATACTATTAGCTTTAAAGTTTTCCCTCTTATGCTATATAAACTGCATTAAAACGGGTTTTCATTGCATTTCATTATATTGTGCTAAGTTTTATGCTGTATACTGCACTATTCTTACGATCATAGCTTATTTTTTCTGAATTTTTTTAAACTTCTATAGTTGCACTGATTCTGATAATACTATTTTTCTGTGTTCCCCATGGTATAATTTTCTCATTAAGTAGAAGTATTCTATAAAACTTTTGCTGCTACATAAAGTTTCTTTTTCTACATATATGTTATTCTCTATCTTTTTTTAAAAGGAGGGGGGTTGGATGGAGGGACTGCAGTAAGCGTTGATTTTACATCCAGAGGGAATTGATTCAAGTCATCAAAATCAAATTGATGGCATTTATTAATAAGAACCAATTGGGTGTAGTGATTAAGGCATCAGAGAAGAACCCAGGAGACTGGGAGTTCTAGTGCCACTTCAGGCACAAAACTGAATGACCTTGAGCCAGTCACTTTCCTTCATCCCTAGAAAGGTGGCAATGACAAACCATTACTGAAAAACATTGCCAATAAAATTGCAGGGACTTGTCCAAACTGTTTCCAAGAATCAGATGTGATTAAACAGAAGGGAGGGGAAAAAAACTTTATGCATAAAAAGTCACAAGTTCACAGCCTAAGTACCAATGGTGGAAATGTTTACAAGAAAAAGGAAAAAACAAGCTTTACAAACAGGATGGAAATCAGTAGCAAATGTTCCCAGGTATAGATATTTTCAGGTTCCCAGGTATAGATATTTTCAGGTTTGATTTCAACATAGTTCTGTCCTAAATAGCACTTAGACTTGTATATCTCTTCATTGTGCTTTACAGCCCTCTCTAAGCAGTTGACAGAGAATCAGAATCAGAATAGACCTGGAAGGGACCTTCTTAAAAACATCCAATGATGAAGCATCCACAACTTCCGGTGGCAAACTGTTCCACTGGTTAATTGTCCTCGCTGTTAGGAAGTTTCTCCTTCATTTCAGGTTGCTTCTCCCCTTGATTAGTTTCCATCCATGGTTTCTTGTCCTGCCCTCATATGGTCGCCAACAATCTAGGTCCTCCTTTTACCAATTGTGTGTCATTATGTGTCATTCAATTGTGTATCATTGATTCGGCATATCTTTAATAGGTTTTATTGTGACCCAAAAACCCCACAAGATTAAGGGAAACCCATATCCCATCTTTCCTGAGAAATTATGAGATTTCTGAACAAGTATGGCTAAAATTGCACTCTAACATTGCAATCCTGAGAGCAAA